TTAGTACGCCACTGGTGTCAGTGTATGTCTGTGTATCTGCATATGTGTATCTGCACTGTGGGAAGAGCAAGTAGAACCTGTGGCAGGGGAGCCTGGAACAGAGAAAAAGAAGAAATGGGGCAGAGATCGACATATAAATCTGAAATAACAGCAACTACAATAATTACAAATATTTTGCTAATATGAGGGGTACAATTTATGGAAACGGGCTGCCAAGGGGTACTCAAGTGACAAAAAAAGTTGGGAATCACTGGTCTAGAGGACCACTTCAAATCATGGTAGTGGTCATGATGGTTAGAGTAACCCTTTAACCCCTTAAAACCGGAGGGCGTACTATTACGCCCTATTCTAAGCGGCTCTAAACGCCGCCGGGCGTAATAGTACGCCCTCCGGTCTTTTCCTACTTACCCGGTCGCCGGCGATCCCACGCCGGCGATCGTGGTTGGGGGGACTCCCAGGGAGCCCCCCGTGGCACGTCCGACCCCCTGGAAGCCCCCGGCCATGTGAGAGTGGGGTCCTTGCGAGGACCCCACAATCACATGGTCGGGGGTAGCTGGCTGCAGCATTGCCAGCAGGGGGACTGCCAGTAATGACAGGTGGTCCCCCTGCTGGCTGGAAATAAAATTAAATACATTAAAAAGTGTAAAAAAAATTATAATATACTTAGATCATATATATATATATATATATATATATATACTGGGCCGTCTGAGCCAAAAGTTAACCTAACCTGTCAGCGTATGTCTATCTTGTATCATATTATATATATATATATGATCTAAGTATATATATACACATATACATACACACACGTACACTGTCTAGGTGTATTTTACTATTAATATATATATAATTATATATATATTATTAATAAATTACACGTAGACTGAGACTGATTAAATATATTTATAATTATTGTTATATATATATATTTATATATAATATAAAAAAAAAAATATGGAGCGGGGCCAAGCCAGCAAGCTGAGAAGTCGCAGAAAAGCTGGGCTCCCGCTGTACTTGCCAATTTCTTGCTGAAAACTCACTAAATTGAAGACTAAAGAATCCGGGATGAGCCACCTACAACAGGGGCGACCCGGCAGCAAACCTGAAACCCTTATTGAGTGCTCAACAGATCGGACACCCAGAATGGAAAGCCGCGGCCTGCAGGGGACGGGAACGGGGAGAGGCGGCCGCTCTCCTCGCCCAGACACTGGCCCCACAGATGCCCTGCTCCCCCCCCAGGACCAGCGGGGGTTATCCTGGTCCAATGCGGAGAAGCAACCTACCCACAACTGCACCAGCTGAAAAGCCTGGCGAGCAGCGGAGCGACATGAAGCGAGACAACATGGCCGCCACCACGTGCACCTGGCCCGCAAGGAAAGCGGAGCTCGAAGCTAAACTAGAGGAGCTGTTCGCCAAGTTCTGGACGAAGCTGGAGTCCAGGGAGCAACAGGCAGGCACAAACATACCTGCACAGCAGCTGACACTCACCCGCACAGATCCGGCTCCACCGCGAGCTCCAGCGACACACAAAGTGAGCCACAGCCAGCAGACACGTGGAGCCTACGGGCCGAAGCGACAGCAACTGCCAACAGCAGTGGCAAACCACAAAACCCACACGGCGAACTCTACTCAACGTCCAAAGCACCCACAGACGACGCTGAGGAGACAGCACACCACCACAGACAGGAAAGGGAGGCGGCTGAAGCTACCTGCACGGGCCGCGCCAAAACCCATATGCCGCATAGGAGCAGAGGCAAGGGCCTTCCCGGGCACACTCCTGTGCAAATCCTGGGCTATTCGCCCGACGCACCTCGCCGCACGGGGAGACCATGCCGTTACCAGGCCCATGTACACTTCTTCCGAGCTGGGGGTTCACCTGGAGGTAACCCTCCCACGCCACCCATACACCCGAGGGGACAGCCGAGCTCCGGCGGATCCTTGGGCCCACGACCCTGTTGATGGGGTCAATGGACATGTGGCAAGGGCCCCTGCTAAGGCCTCGGGCCAAAGACACATGGCACCTGGACGACGGGCACCCAGGAACTACGGGGGGAGAGCCACAATGCGGGGAGCTGGGCGCCTGGCGGGCCCGGTCAGACGCAACGACAAGGTCACCACGATGGGCCAGGAAACAGTCTACCTCCCAAAACACACTAGTGGCATTGGGTGAAGTGCCCCTGCAACCCACATCTAGGCTCCCAGCCTAGACACCACGCAGGACTTGGGATGCTCTCACATTACTGTAACTATATATTCGCCTAGTGCTACAAATGTCACCTCTCATGTAACTTAGCTTAACTATATACTTAGTCTTGCTAGCGGCAACTCACAGCGGCAGCTCTATAAGCTTGTTTTCCCTTTATGGGCTACTTACTATGTTAGCAAAAGGTACTGGGCCGCCTGAGCCAAAAGTTAACCTAACCTGTCAGCGTATGTCTATCTTGTATCATGCAGGCGCAGGGTACCCACTAGCTCCATCATGTATATGCTACATACCACCATAGCATGCATCCTTTAGACACAGTAGCATAGAATATGCAAACCATAATCTCACGAGACAGTAAGCTAGTGGCAAAAAATCGACTGCATGTTTGCCCTACAAACATTAATAGTGCTAAACAATTCTGCTGAGCTTGATTGATTTGTTTAACTTAATGCTGTTTGGTAATCACATGTTAGTACCAGCTGGTACCGCTCAACCTATATACTCGAAGGGAAGCACCTACAGTGGATAGGTCTCACTCGTTCAGTAGCAACCTAATTTAATACACGTTTACGTTAAGCGTCTAACAAAAATTTTAAAAAATGAGGCATTAACAAACTGGAAATGTAAATAACAATGCTTAGTTACACCAATCTACGTTGTGAAATGCCCATGCATTTCCCTCTCTCTCTTCTGTACCCCCATATGTGCCTTAATAAAATAAAGATTGACAACAAAAAAAATATGTAAATACGTTTACAAAATAAAAAAATTATTAAAAATAAATAATTAAAAATATATAGATGTGTGTTATTTCGTTTTAACTGTATTGTGAAATTAATATATATATATATATATATATCAAAATACACGTAGAACGAAATAATATATATATATATATCTATATACATAAATATATACGTATATATCACTATATATACCTATATATAAATAAAAATATTTTAAAAAATTGCCATATATATATATATATATATACACATAAATTATATATATATACATATATTAATTCTACATATATATTTTATATAATATTTTTACATAATTAGGTATCTTAATTAATTACAATTAGCGGGACCTTACTTACAACAACCCACATGCCAAAAGTAAAAGGAATTTTGTTGCTGCTTTACTATATTTAACCCTATAACTTTCCAAACACCATAAAACCTGTGCATGGGGGTTCTGCACCTGGGGAGACTTAAGCTGAACACAAATATTAGTGTTTCAAAACAGTAAAGTGTATTACAACGATGATATCGCCAGTAAAAGTGACTTTTTTGCCTTTTTCATGCACAAACAGCACTTACACGGACGATATTATTGCTGTGATACTTTTTACTGTTTTGAAACATAAATATTTGTGTTCAGCAAAGTCTCCCGAGTACAACAGTACCCCTCATGTACAGGTTTTATGGTGTTTTCAAAAGTTACAGCGTCAAATATAAAGCTTGCGTTTCATTTTTTTCACATTAAAATTTGCCAGTTTGGTTACGGTGCCTTTGAGACCCTATGGTAGCCCGAGAATGAAAATTACCCCTATGATGGCATACCATTTGCAGTAGTAGACAACCAAGAGTGGCCGCAAGCGAAGGTATGATAGAATACGCTTTAGTAACCATAGTACAAGCATATTGAGTGATTTTTGCACTGCACAATACTAACACTTGCTTTGTAGTGTTTAGAGCCAAATAGCTACTAAAAAGACTGTACGCACCCCATTTGCAATACCTTGGGTTGTCTACTATGCAAATGGTATGCCGCAATATAAGGTGTAAATTTCATTTTCCTGGGCTTTCGCGGTATAAAGGCAACATAACCAATCTGGCCGAATTTCAATTTCAGAAATCGCGCGTGCTATATTTGACCCTGTAACTTCCCAAAAGCGCAAAACGCAGCGCATAGGTACTGTCTTACGTGAGACTTTGCTGAATAGAAATGTATTTTATTGCAGTAAGCATAAACAGTATTATGACATTGACCGTTAAAATGTCATGTAGAACTAAAAAAATAAAAATCTTATTTTCTCCCATTTTTTTCGTATTAAATTATGTTTCACAGCTAAATATTTGATATTAAATGAAAGCCCTGTTTCCCCTGAATAAAATGATATATAATAAGGGTGGGTGCATTTACTATGAAAGAGGTGAATTACGGTTGGACAGACATGTAGCGCAAATGCCAGGATTTGTTTACATTTTGTTTCGTTCACAACGTGTACATTTGGCTCAGTCCTTAAGGGGTTAAAGATATAGGCGATATTCAGTGTTTTATTCAACATTGTAATTTCCAGATAGGTGATGGGCTACAGCGTAATATGTACGTTCCATTGCTTTGCTTACACCCTCTCTACATACAGCAACCATTAGGGCTATTTACTAAACTCCGAATTGTAGTGAATTCTAATCCAAATGGCAAACTGATCCTAAAACCCGCAGGCTGTGACCATAGCTGGGTATTATTAAACCCATGTAATAATCTGATAGCCATCCATCGTGCTGCCCGCTCTAATATCAGTATGGGGGTAACACGGGCTATGTCTCGCTATCTCTGCTCCACCGTGTGGCGGACTTTGCTCGGGGCGGCGCCGTGAGAGGAGGGTCTTGCTGCGGGAGCGTGTAATAAGGCTGACAGGCTGCAGCCCGGTTCGCCCAGTGTCGGTGTAACCGGTGACAGGGATCGGAGCCTCACTGTATGAGCGCCATGCAGACCCGCAGCACCTTCCCCGGGGGCCCCGGCAGACTGGCCGTCCTACAGCGGCACCTCGTATCCTTTACACTGCGCGCGGGGGATGCTGGGAGCGGCGACCTCTGAGCCCAGAGAGCTGCTTGCAGATAGAGGGGAGATGGGGGGAGGGAGGGGGGTGATCTAAATAACAGTGTATAGCTGCTGTATGTCAAGGTGATGTTTTGTTTTATAAACTCCCATGGTAAATATAGAGTCAGTGATTGTAGTAAAGGTGCTGGCCAGGCATTGTTTGCTGTAGATATTGAGGAATACCCCTCCATTGGCAGCCTGTTACTGGGAAGCAGTCTGTTTGCAGTACTATCAGGAGCTATATTTGAAATGTACTTTATATCATGTCTGTAGTAAACAATCCTGTGCACAGCATCTATGGCTGAGATCATTTGCTTCTGTTTAAGCACCATGGGAGCTGTAGCTTTACAGTATTTGGGGAATTTTTTTGGACACCCCCAATTAGACAGTCATCTCACCCCCCCTCCCCAATACACCACAATAAGATCACTTTAGAGATCGGAAGGTTTTTTTTGAAAACAATTATATTTTGTTCCAGAGTATCAGTCAGGGTGGTTTATTCCTGAATACTGGTGTCTCCGTGCAGGTTGTTATATTTTCTGTCAATTGCATTACAGCTACCAAACCAGGAAGTAACCAGCAAATATGTACATCTATACAGAAATATACATTGCTTTTATTTGGGACCATCTGTTTTTTTTTTCCAGATCCCAATTTCAGAGTCCGAAATTAAAATAACACTTTTGTTGTTTTATAACATAATAAACTTTCTCTGTGGTGTGTATAATGGGGGTTGGTAGTTTAGGTATAGAAAAATGCAAATTGATACACCGTATGTAGGTGAAAGGACAACCATGACAAGTGTTACAAGGGGCAGCAACGCTGGTTGACTGTTAGAAGTCAGTTATAGGACAAAGGAAATTGTTGTGTTTGACCTTAATGTAAACGGTATGATGTCCAGAGGCTGGCTCATGGACTTGGTACCTGATTTATTTTCTAGATAACATGAAGACTCTCATACACAACAAAGTTTCTCTGTCTGCGTCATACATCTGAGTTCTGTGATCATTTAGAACCTGATTTCAGAAATTGATAAACAGATCCTGTTAGAGGCATTTGTCGAGAATAAAGGTTCCTAGCCAGAGAATTTGGCTGCAAATAGTCAGTTTGAGTTGCAAAAGTTGGAAGAGGGTCATGAAACTGAAATAATAATTAAACGTTAATCAAGGGAGCAAAAAGCTTTGGTTGTGTGTGTATATGGGGCATATAGGAGTAGGCAAGTATACTAAAGGGGATCGATTTACTTAAGTGAAGGGAGGTGAATTGTTAAGGAAATTGCAATATTTATGCCAATGTAACGACCTGGAAAAAGTAGTTAAATATTTTATTTTTTGTCCAGTTTGGCTATACACCCTGTTCCAAATTATTATGCAAATTCTATTTAAGTGTCACAAAGATTAAATATTTTGTTTTTCAGTTTAACTCATGGATGGCATTGTGTCTCAGGGCTCATTTGATCACTTAAAACAATCTTGGACACCTGTGATAATTAGATTGCCAGGTGAGCCCAATTTAAGGAAAAACTACTAAAGGAGGGTTTTCGACATTATTAAGCAGAGCACAATTTTCATGCAATATGGGGAAGAAAAAGGACATCTCTGCTGCCGAAAAGAGTGAAATAGCTCAATGCCTTGGACGAGGTATGAAACCATTAGATATTTCACGAAAACTTAAGCATGATCATCGCACTATTAAGAGATTTGTGGCTGATTCAGAGCACAGACGGGTTCGTGCAGATAAAGGCACATTGAGGAATATTCCTGCTAGATCCATGCATCGGATCAAGAGAGCAGCTGCTAAAATACCATTACATAGCGGCAAACAGATATTTGAAGCTGCTGGTGCCTCTGGAGTCTCACGGCCATCAAGGTGTAGAGTCCTCCAGAGTCTTGCAACTGTGCATAAACCTTCTATTCGGCCACCACTAACCAATGCTCACAAGCAGAAATGGCTGCATTGGGCAGAAAAATACATGAAGACTAATTTTTAAACAGTCCTGTTAACTGATGAGTGCCATGCAACCCTGGATGGTCCAGATGGATGGAGTAGTGGATGGTTGATGGACGGCCAACCTGTTCCAACAAGGCTGCGACGTCAGCAAGGCGGTGGTGGAGTCATGTTTTGGGCCAGAACCATGGGAAGAGAGCTGGTCGGCCCCTTTAGGGTCCCCGAAGGTGTAAAGATGACCTCTGCAAAGTATGTGGAGTTTCTGACTGACCACTTTCTTCCCTGGTACAGAAGGAAGAACTATGCTTTCCGTAATAAAATCATCTTCATGCATGACAATGTACCATCTCATGCTGCAAAGAATACCTCTGCATCAATGGCTGCCAAGGCAGATAAAAGCAGAGAAAGTCATGGTGTGTCCTCCATTTTCCCCTGACCTCAATCCTAATGAGAACCTTTGGAGCATCCTCAAGCAAAAGATCTATGAGGGTGGGAGGCAGTTTACATCCAAACAGCAGCTCTGGGAGGCTATTCTGACATCTTGCAAACGAATTCAAGCAGAAACTGTCCAAAAACTCACAAGTTCAATGGAAGACTTGTGAAGCTGCTACCAAATAAGGGGTCCTATGTTAAAATGTAACGTGACCTGTTAAAATGTTTAAAAAGTTAAAATGTTGTTATAAGTTTGATTGAAATAGCTTTTGATTTCAGTAAATATGCTGCAAACACAACAAATGACAATTTTCAGTTCTTTACAACCTATAAAGTGTTTTGAAACTTACTGTGCGTAATAATTTGGAACAGTGCATTGTAAGTTTTTTATGTTTAAAAAAAATACTGTTATCATTAGGAAGTCTGTTAAATAAAATTTGAATTGTACTCTTAATAGTTGATAACATGTAACATGAGAATTGTGCTGACTGTTATTTACATCAATTATTTAGGTAAATTAGAAAAATATCATTTGCATAATAATTTGGAACATGGGCCTAGAAATTTGCAACTTGTGGGCTTATTCACAAATGTCAGAATAGTTGTGAATTGAAACTAGATTTCAAATTTAATGCCAAAATAGCCAAACTGGAAATATTCTCCAAATTGGCTGTGCTGCATTTGGCTACTTTCTCAATGCGGTGCCCCTCTAGGGCAATGCATGCACAGAGCAGGCAGACTGGCCATCGGGCAAACTGGGCAAATGCCCGGTGGGCCGCGATGACCATGCGCCGAGGCCTACATGTGAGATCACAGGATCTCCCCTGCAGGGCCACTGCTATTCATGCGCCGGCCCTGCTAGGTGTCTTCGTGGTCCTGTAGGGTGATCAGGGATCTCCCTCACTGGCCCACAGACATTGAAATGGGCATCCAGCAGCACGGGAGGGAAAGGAGAGAGAGGACCCAAGGGAACTGTAGCCTGCAGCTCCTCCGGGTTCTCCTCTTGCAAGGTTGGAGTGTTACCGTGGTAACATTCCGATCCCGCAAGAGTGAATTCTGGCCGGAGGAGCCACAGGTTAGAGTTCACTCTCCGGTAGGACCACCAGGGCCTCACCACCCGACCTCCAGAGATTAAAAGCAATATCCCCCCTCCCTGAGCAAAGGTAAGAAGGGAGGTGGGATATAAACTATATTTTTTTTTAATTAAAATAAAAAATACACATGTATATGCTTTAATCTCACCACACTGTAACTCAAACACACATACACTTCACCCAATCACACACTGCAATCCCCCCTCCCAAACACACACACACACCACACCTCAGGGCCGCCACCAGAAATTTTAACCTAACTCAGCTTAGGGTCTGGGGCCCGCCTGCAAATACCGCCCACAGGGTCCGCCTCCAAATACCGCCCACAGGAATACACACACAGACACAAACACACACACTAATACAAAAGGACACAGTTACATACTAACAGACACACATACTGAAACAGATATACATGCATACATACTGAGACATACACACATATACAGACACACAGGCATACATAGTGACAGACCGACACATACTAACATACATACAGACACACATGCATGAGGAAATAAAGACACATACAGACATACATACATTCATACTGACAGACATACAGACACTGACATACATGCAGACAGACATACATGGAAATACAGACACACACACACACACACACACACACAGCTCATTTTCCAGCCACCCTCCTGTTTCTTACCTTTTCTTTGCAGGAGGGTAGCTGGGCTGATGGGAGTAGTGGGCTTGGCTCTTCCTCACTGCCAGGCGCGCGTTCCTCCCAGCAGCACTTGCCACGGCTGCATTTTTTTGTAAGTAGGCCATTACCCCCTCTCCTCCCCCTATTAAAGTTATTTTCACAAGGCATTACAACTTACTGATTGGCTTGTATATCCTGCTACTATAGTTGATGTTAAATTAAAATAAAGAAGCCCATGCAGTTCTGGTTTGTTTGTTTTTCCCTTTAAGATCTATAATCTGTATCACAAAAAAAATTAAATAATATTGTTATTAGTACTTAATTGACCTTAATTAATACCTCAGGTGGCTGTTCCAGTTTCTGGTCAAGTCTCAACTGCCATCTACCCAACTGACTTCCAGTAAGTATGTCCCATGTCTTACCAGTGTGTATTAACACCTCCAAACTGTAAATTTTAGATCTTCTGACACCTGGATGCATAGCTAGCACATAAAGCTGCAGGAAATAATTTCGTGGATAGTGTGCTTTAAAGATACCAAAAAATTCATATTGTTACTTAATTTACATTTAATATGTTCATCCTCTGCAAAAATGTGCATGTTGTGGGGAGGAGTTGTAAAGAATTTGTAGTTTTTAGCGGGGCACTTTCATCACAATTCTTCTGGCATGTTTACGATCATGCTGTGTGCCTTGGTTAGCTATGCAAGTTCCTGTACAATATGGGAATAAGGAATGTGGAATGCAAAGTATAGTCCCTCTCTGTTTCTCTTTATTTGTTTTGTTAGACCTACATTTTAGAAAATGCAAGTAACTGAAATGAAGTATGCATTCTTACCTAAACACTCAGTCCAGATCTAGAATTGCAATAATAAAAATTATTTTTAGCAAACAATGCACAGATAAGCATAAAAGGCAGCCTTTGTGAAATTATGAGGGATTTATGCTCCAGTTTTATTCTAAAATGGTTTGTGAAATTTGGTTTCCAGCTTATACCCCCTGAAAAATTATTATTGTATAACTTCCCTGTCACTATTTCACATAGCTTTATTTTAAATGCATGTGTTCCCTTCTTGTGCAAGGAGTGCTTTTTGAAACTGAAGCATCAATAGGGAATTTAGAAACAGTGTGACGACAGATGACAGCTTTTCGGCCAATCTAGTCTTCCCAATTTTCGAAATACTTTCATTAGACTCATATCTTAATATGCCTTATGTTTATCCCATGCATGCCTAAACTTCCTCACTGTGTTAACCTCCATGCATGGAAGGCTATTCCATGCATCCACTACCCTCTCAGTAAAGTAATACTTCCTGATATTATTTTTAAACCTTTGCCCTTCTAATTGAAGACTGTCCTCTTGTTGTGGCAATTTTCCTTCTTTTAAATATACTTACTCTCTTCCTTTACTATGTTGATTCCCTTTATATATTTAAACGTTCTATCCTCTATCAACATGATATGATCTTTTGTCCAGCACCAGTGTATCTGGAATCTTTGTCCTTTCACTTTGCAAAGATCGTCTGTATCACTAAATACATTGTGCAACTATGTTGCACATATTCTGCCTTGCTTAAAGGACCACTCTAGGCACCCAGACCACTTCAGCTTAATGAAGTGGTCTGGGTGCCTGGTCCAGCTAGGGTTAACCCATTTTTTCATAAACATAGCAGTTTCAGAGAAACCGGTCACTACCATCCTACGAGAGAAAAACATGCAGTATAGATGGGGTTACCCATTTAGCATCACGGTCTGCCATAATAATGAATGGGTCTCAGCCAGATGGCCCGAGGAAATCCCCCAATTCTTGCAACGGCTGGATCTACCACCGACTCCCATCCTGAACTGGGTCTTCATGCCATTAGAACCCAGACCACAACTGCAGCGACAGACACGGCGACGAAGATGGAACTCCCCTGGCGACGCACCGCGGCACCATCCAGATCTGACACACCCGGAGGAATAATCTCCCTGCCGATAAGCCTACGACCGCACTCGAGGACCCCATGCTCCCCAGTCACCGCAGACTAATGGAACTCAGGTCGGAGAAGTACGTCGGCTGCATACCTGCACACCTGTAACCTGACTGTGGGCTGACCTGGTACAAGCACAGGATTGTGAGGGGAGTCCCCTGAGGGTGCGGGTAGGCATCAGAATTCACCCTTGGACAGATCGAAACACAGGATATCACACCAGCAAATGGGTCCCGCACACACACAAAAAAAAAATCCACACCCCCTCTATAGACAGGGAACGGAAAAGATTAGAGGGAAAGACCTTTGGGGAGGTGGGTCGAGGGAAGGGTAAACCGGTTCATGATAATTGGGGACTCTAGACTTCCCGCAGAATTGACCTTTGATATGTGACCTGTGGAAAGACTGGTACCACCATGAAGAGACGAGGAACGCTTCAGGATCACTGCCCAAAAGCAGACAGGTAAGCCAAGAGGATAAGCAGACGGGACTTTCCTGAGGACTTACAAATATCAACCACACAATTCATTCCTTCATCGCACCTACATAGTGATGTATCTGCTCCCATGCTGTCGGGTCCTCCCTAACTAGCATATACCACACGGGTGACATGACCCACTTTCCTGCCACCCACAACCCCCTCCACACCCCACCACCATAATTAATCACTCCACGGCGGAACATAGAGACGCATGTGAACGCGTTGATTAACCTGGGGCCCTGCTTATACACACAATTAGTACCAGTGACGGATCAAGCTAGGAGAGATGAAGGGGCAACCGTGGAACGACATGAAGAAAGGGGGGTGAGGGAGGGACTGAAAAATAGGAGGGGGGGATCGAGAGAGACGGGGAGGGGAGAAAGGAGGGAAGATAGAGAGGGAAGAAGGGAGGGAAGGGGACAAAGACGGTGGGAGGCATACAGGAGGGCAGGGGGGAATGCGGAAGGCAAAAGTGGGAGGGAGGGAAACGGGGAGAGGGGGAAAAAAAACACACGAGCATCACGACATGGCCATGAAGAGGGGTAGACCCATACACTACTGTGGCGCAACCAACCTCGCCACTGTGCACTGGAGAAGCCTGGTTGCTCGCCTGCTCCCTTTAGACTATGGCCCCTGTTCTTTTACCCTGCAGAAAGGCTGGTTAGTGCCTTTCTGCGGACTGTTAAAGCCATGCTACCCCAGATAGCTATGCCATGGAGCCCAGCCATGTACTGAAAGACTGCATGAAAGACTTTGGCTCCATGGCGATTGAACTGTATGTATGTGATCTGAGCGCCATCCGGTAATAATGTGCGCTCAGATCTAAGCTATCTGGGGATAGGTAGAATGTCTGTATTTTATGTAATAAAAGTAACCTTGTGTATTTTATTGTATTTTACTGTCTTTTTACTGCCATGTGCTTAATGGAGTTTTGCCTCTGTCCTTGGAGATAATTGGATTACTTCTCAATTATCTCCAGGATAGAAGACTCTGTGAAACTGGTTTTGGGCAGAAAAGCCATGCTTCATTTGGTCACAAAGGACTTTGATCTATCTTTTGAACCAATGGACCAATTTGGATGATTTTGACATATGTTTGTATTTGGAGTATGCTGATTCAGAAAATGTGAATATGATGCATACTTTCAAAGTTATGAATAATGTGGAAAAACTGTATTCCTCTGCCTGTGATAATTATATCACCCATTGTGTTCAGTAATCCTCACAGACAGAGGGGAGGATTTTGTGTGGGAGTGTCTGTGTGTAATGTATAGATTGATTGGTTGTTCTGTAAAACCCTGTGGGCAGTACTATGTTTGTGGATTGGGAATAAAAGAGGCTGTATGTGCCAGTACAGTCAGATTCTGCTTAACCCTCAAACGAAGTGTCATCTCGTTATTGGGGGAATTGGATTGTATGCTGACTGCCAGGAGTGTAAACCTTTCGTATGGTTTTTCCTGTTCAGCTGTTTTCAGTATTCGTGAGTTTCCTGTTTGGGAGTTGGAGAATTTGTGTAGTTTGCAGTTCGGGAGATTGGTGATTGCAATAGCTGTCTGTGCATCTGAAAGGGGAATATCGCCTAAACGGCTTTTAACCTCTGGTGAGCAAAACGGTCCGTTACAACTACGTATTCCAATGGGATATCCACACGTAACTTTAACGCAGACGTGCAGGTCAACCTGAAGGGTGAGTGCCTCTATCAGACACCGGAGGCACCGGGACACACAACACATCGTGCTGACAATAACGAACACAAAACCATTAGTATTAGTGATGGCTACACCATAACCACATTACAGTGGACGGACACGGTAACCCCACTCCTACACGGTTCAAAGGACTTACTAACCACCTACCGGCGGGACTCCAAGATACTGTCTAAGCTCTCAAGGAGCGTTACCAAAACCAACACCTTATAACCTGTAGATATCCTTGCCCCAACTGACTGGGGCCCAGACACGCTACCCACCAATCTCGGTGTGCACACTTGACACTGCGAGGGGCAGCTGGTGCACCACCGGGCTCCACCACGGGGTGGCCGCTGCCTGATACCGCAGGCACACGACCTCCCTCTTCTTGGAAAGGCCCACTTCCACTCCATCCACACCCTAGGGGGGCACCCACCCGAAACACCCTAATTCCCAAAGCCCGCATAAGCCTCCTACACACCCCCTTCCACAGAAACCACGACGAGAACCCAACGCAACTGAGAGGAACTGAAAAGTCACCCGACAATACACCCCTCGACCACACAGACACGAACAACACCCAACTACCGAACACCCGTTAGCTCACACATACATTTATTACTTAACGATCCACCCAAATACCCCACTCCTCCCCCTTGCTCCTGACTCTGCCGTCATTGCTCCCCGAGTGGCACCATCCACCCGAACCGCCGCATTGAACTTCCGAGGTGACCACAACTCTAGACGCAGTGTTGGGCTTCCCCGGCCGCCTCCCACACACCCGCGAAGAGGGGACGCGGGCGGGTGACCCGATAACCGATAGGACACCCCGCCAGGGCAAAGACTCTGACAAGATGACTTACCACCCGGACCCACTAAAAATCTTCACACAAAATTGTAGAGGACTAAACCTCCCTGAATGCAGAACTCACCTTCTTAGGGAACTCAAGAGAGAGAGAATAGCAATAGCTCTTCTACAAGAAACTCACTTCCGGGAGGGATCGGCCCCGACACTTAAGAACAAACACTACCCCTCCAACTACTACAGCAAACACCCCACAGCGAAAAAACCTGGGGTCGCAATCCTGATAGCAGCTAGGCTACAATTCAAAGAGAGGGAACACCTCATAGACACGAACGGCAGATATATCTTCGTCAAAGGATAGCTATCAAGCCGACGCTACATGTTCACGGCACTGTACGTCCCCAACAACAATCAATCTCGATTCCTCAAATGCACACTGAAGAAACTAGCGGACTTCACAGAAGGAACACTGGTCACGGGAGGGGACTTCAACGTCCCGCTGGACCCTAAAATGGACTCCTCTACGGGACATAGTAGCATCCCACAAAGAGAAATAAGAAACATCCACCAAACCTTACGGACACTGCGCCTAGTAGACTGCTGGAGAACAATGAACCCACTGGACAAAGAATACACTCACTACTCCACACTATACAAAAGATACTCCAGAATAGATTTCCTGCTAGTGAAACAAGAGGCTCTGACAAGACTCCAGAGAGCATCCATACACGCCGCGACCTGGTCGGACCACGGACAGGTTTCAATAGACCTCAAATCCCCCTTCGCAAGACCAATGAAGAGGACTTGGAGACTCAATGACTCCCTTTTAACTGACCCTCCGTTGAGAGCCCAAATCGCCGAAACACTAAAAACGTACTTCACTGAAAATGAGACGGAAGATATGACAGTATGGGAAGCCCACAGAAGCGTAATTCGGGGCAGACTTATCCAACTCGCGTCGCAACGGAAAAAAACATCTGAAAGGCTTATGTCAAACATCGTTGACCGGATCCGCGCGCTGGAAACACAACACAAACGCCAGCAGGTAGAGGATACCTACAAAGAACTCTTAGAGGTGAGGAGACAACTACACGCACTACTACTCAAGAGACACCTGAGACAACTCCGCAGATCCAAAGGATTCTTTTATCTACACGCAAACAAAGGAGGCAAACTCCTAGCACAAATGCTCAGAGGACAGCAACAACCCGCACAAATACACAAATTAAAAAAGGAGGCACCACCACCCAGAGAAAATTGCTAAGGAATTCCTTAACTACTACTCGTCACTCTACAATACACACAAACAAAGCGACGACGAAAGCACGCGCATCAAACAGGACCGCATAGAAAGCTTCCTAAGGGAACACCTCCACACGACGGTGACAGCCATGGACGCAGAAACACTCGACCTACTGGTCACCCAAGATGATATTAAAGCATCCATCAAAACGACGAAAACAGGACGCGCCCCCGGACCAGACGGACTGACTCTAGACTACTAGACTCTCCAAATTCACAAAAGCCCTAAATGCAATCACAGAGGGGCATACATTCCACGCAGAATCACTGTCGGCCACGATCACAGTAATACCAAAACCAGGTAAGGATCCGGAAACCTATAGCAGCTACCGACCCATCTCCCTGTTAAATGTTGACACAAAACTCTTTACCAAAATATTGGCTGCCAGACTCAGCAATCTGATGCCAACACTAGTACACCCCGATCAAACAGGGTTCATACCGGAGCGGGAGGCTTGGGATAGCACTTTGAGGGTCCTTGCCATACAACATTTAGCGAGACAAAACAGATCATCACCGCCTGCTATCCACAGACGCCAAAAAGGCGTTTGACCGAGTGGACTGGACGTTCCTGAAAACGGTATTGCGCCTTCTGGGATTCACCGAACACATACTGAAATGGATTGGAGCACTCTACAGTGACCCAACGGCAGCGATATGCATCAACGGAGCCCTGACGGAGTCCTTTCCAATTCGAAATGGAACGAGACAGGGATGCCCCTTGTCCCCGCTATTGTTTGCCCTCACGTTAGACCCTCTACTGGAAGCAATCCGGCGAAATATTAACATCTCGGGTTACACTTGGAAAACCACCACCCATAAGGTTGCCGCATATGCAGACGATATGTTATTCTTCATCACACAACCACGACTCACCCTGCCCTGCTTAATGACCGAACTTGAACACTACGGACGTCAGTTGGGCCTCAAACTCAACCGAAGTAAATGTGAACTTCTCAATATCAATGACCCAAAAGGAGAACACAGAGCTCTAGCCTCGGCCTTCCCGTTCCGGTGGTGCCAAACCCAAATGAGATACCTAGGGATATGGGTAACGACAGACCCAAGCGCCCTCTATCAGACAAACTTCCTCCCGCTCCTCACACGAATACAGCACGATCTACGAGTCTGGAATTACCCACACATCTCATGGCTAGGCCGCATAGCGGTTATCAAAATGAATATACTACCCAGGATACTATATCTATTCCACACGATCCTACTAGCACCACCGATGACCTTTTTCGCCACGCTAAAAACCACATTTCTGACCTACGTATGGAGAGGATGCAGACCACGACTGAGATATGAACTCCTGTGTCGGACCAGAAGACAAGGGGGACTGGCACTCCCAGATCTTAGTAAATACCACCAAGCAACAGCCCTACAACGGATCCTAGAATGGCACACTAACCCCAGATACAAACAATGGGTGACCCTAGACAAGGAATCGTGCGGCCCGTCCATCTTTACATCCTTCTGGAACACGAGAACGACACGGAAAGTCGATTCTTACACACTCTCCCCGGCGAATCAAAACCTTCAAACTTGGTCGACAATGCGGAAAATGGCAACCATCTCACCCACACCTAGCCCGATGACCACGTTAACGCACAACCAAACACTGGGAGGAGGACTGCCACTCAAAACCTGGGACTTCCTGAGAGGGGAGGAATTAATTCCACTCCACAAAACACTGACAGCTACTGGAATGACCCCCCTGTAACAATTAGAGGGCCCGCCAACCCCCATGCAAAGATTTCGATACTCACAACTGACGCATTTCTATCACACACTACCGAACAGACATACAGTACACAGACCCCTCACATGGTTCGAGGAAATATGCAACAAAAAAACGCCTATCCAGAAACCAACAGCAACACTATACCAATACCTAATCACGGACGACCACCAGGCAGTGTATGAAATCAGTTAGGGTGTGTGTGACTCAGTGAATGTGTGTGGTGTGTATGCCAGTGAAAGTTAAACACTGTGCGCCAATGACTTTGTGTCTGTCAGTGAGTGTATGTCTGTGTATGTATCATCAGTGTGGGCATGTGTCTGTCAAAGTTTGTGTTGGTCTTAAACAGGAAGGGGTGAGGCAACTTTAGGTTAGTGGGTGCCTGAGTTTTTAGTCATGCCTAGGGCAGCACAAAACCAAAATAAACTACTGAACACACTGTTGTGTTTAATTATTCTGAGACATAAAAGTAAATCGCAATAATGATAGAATACAGTCCTTATGTGGTAAAAAATTTTATAACGTAGCAAGACCGATCCTAAGATAGAATACTCTCTGGGCCTGTCACATTTGTATTTCGAACACGGTAGTGTACCTTAAGTTCTTTTTTTTTTTTTTCAGATAACTAAACTTTTAAAATTTTACTTTCACTTCAGCTCATCATTTTGGTAATCTCATCATTTGGTAAAGCTCATCATTTTGGTAGATTTTGGTAATCTTTTTGGATTTTTAGGATTTATGTGGCTTCTAATTATTAGAAGATTGAGATTGGGAATTACAGTAAAAATAATCGTGACAGCAATTGTAGTTTGTACTTTCTACCATAATTTTGATCTGTGCTCTGAATAATCTTTTACCAGGTACACGTTGAATAATAATAATGTCCTGACTTTGGAACAGAGACAGTTCTATGAAGAGAATGGTTTTCTAGTCATAAAAAACCTGGTTTCACAAGAGGATCTTGAGAGTTTCAGGTACAGATTTATATTTCATAATTTTGTTTTCAATTTGATGCTCTAAAATCATGTTAATTATAGTTTAAGCTATAACTTGTGAGCAGGGCAAGAGTGGCCCACAAGGAAACCAGGCTGACAGCCACTTGAGGAGCTTTCGCTGTGAGAACCAAGTCAAACTCTATTATCACAGCTAAATTCCTAAAGGAGTGCAGTGTTGCGTTGCATGTTCTTTTAGTCCCCAAAGTTCCTCTATGAGGAGTATCGGATTGGACTTTAAGAAGCTTTGGCGTGACAGAAATGGTCTTTTGACAGTTCTTTTCTGCTCCCTATGGCTCAGTGTCTAGCCTACTCCGTGCATCCACCTGAGAGCTAACAAACTCATTGACTATTTATACACAGACACTAATTGCAATTTAAAAAGCCACAAGTCTGGAAAATTAACCTTTCATTGCCATTTTAACCCATGTGTCACCTTGTGTGTCTGTAACAAGGCCAAACATTCAAGGGTATGTAAACTTTTGATCAGGGCCATTTGGGTGATTTCTTTTAACATTATGATTTAAAAAGGTGCCAAATAACTGTGTGCTAATAAATGACTTCATATGATCACTATCCTTCAAGAAAAGACATTGTTTTGCATGATCAGTAATAGTTTTAAAATAAATGCCAATATTTCACAATTTCTGCCAGGGTATGCAAACTTTTGAGTACAACTGTACCTTCCACTGCATCCACTGTCCTCTGCACTAGAAGGGGAAATGCAAAGATGACCCAAGGTGACAGAGGCTCTTTAAAGTGGCACTGCCATGTGTTTATTTCCTATATTGTATCTTAATGATTATTACCCAACCCCGCCACTTTTATATTTATAATAGTTTTTTCTTGGCATTTATTCTCAATATCCAAGTACTGCTGTCTGTTCTTCTCAAACTGCAGACAATGTCCTTCTGTGGGATTCTTTTGACCAATGGTTTGTAGGTAAAGGAGCTTAGTAACTGAAATGGATCGTGGCGTATGCTTGGGCCCATTGACAAAAAATGCCAGAGAAAACATTCCCCATAAGAAAAAGTAGTCCCTACTAAAAGCAAAGATGAATTAATATAAATAAAACCAAGGGGAATTAGAGGGACAAATTTAAAGCAGCTCTGAAATGACCTGACCGTCATATTCTCATGTATGTAATGTAATGCAATATGGTCCTCAGAGGAAGAACAGAATAATAACTGACAATTGGCATCAGTGGGGAGGTGCTAACCAACCAGAAATGGCTGCATGAGATTTCCAGTACCTTCTGTAAAACATCTAAACAGAAATGCAGAAAAAAAATCACCAGAGCTAATAGGCTAATACAAAACAATAATATACACGCTGTGAAAGACAAATACGTAGCTCTAAAACACCTAAAAAAGTGGTATCCCTTACACCACTAAAAACATAATACAATACATACAGAGTTATAGGTGGAGCTGTGGAGTGTCTTGAATAATCTGGAAAATAGAATATATGCAGATAGCGTAGTATATCTATACAATATATAGCATATAGAAAATGAGAATAAAAGCACTCACAAGGATAGAGTCATACCGTCATATGACTCTAAAAGTATGTTCTCTTGGACCATTAGGGGGTTGTCCAAACCCTTCTTTTGTTGATTGCTTGTTATCTCTCCTGATGGTCTTCAATAAAGATGCCCAGTATACCAGGGATCTTTGAAAAATAATTCTTGTTTATTTGTAAATAAAATAACAAAATGGCAATATACTAAACCAATAAATATTGGGTATAGATATAGTCCAATAAAAAGTCTATAAAAGTTGAAAATGAGTGTCCAAAACGCATTTCGCCTGATTAACAGGCTTCCTCAGTTGGCTCTAATATTTCTTCCAAAGTTTTCTTTATTTGAAAATGCCGCCGGCCGGCTGTATCTTCTTTTATATGGCACTTCCTGATTCCGTCTGGTGGAACGCAACATGCGTTCCACCTACGGCACTAACTACCGGTACGCACCGCAAGTGGAACGCACGTGCGTCCCAACTCCGTGCGCACACTGGAACTTCAGCGCCAACTTCCAGATGGAGCGCCCGCGCGCCCCAACTCGGCGCCAACCTCCGCAATACACCACAAGTGGAACGCACGTGCGCTCCAACTTCAAGCAGCAATTCACTTCCAGGTCTCTCTACACTTCCGGGTCACACTCAGGTGGAACGCACGTGCGTTCCATTCCCAGCCTCACATCGGGTGGCCAAATGTGAACCTAAAAATGGCGTTCTGCCTGTGTTTACACAAATATAGTGTGACATATAGAATTATAAGTGCTATGTCTTAAATAAAAGTAATATAAAAAATCGAATATTTTGAAAGAGAAAGAATAAAAACTAATTCTATTAGTTTTACAAGATAGTTTTTATCTTCTAAAACTAATAGAATTAGTTTTTATTCTTTCTCTTTCAAAATATTCGATTTTTTTATATTATCTTCTAAAACTAATAGAATTAGTTTTTATTCTTTCTCTTTCAAAATATTCGATTTTTTTATATTACTTTTATTTAAGACATAGCACTTATAATTCTATATGTCACACTATATTTGTGTAAACACAGGCAGAACGCCATTTTTAGGTTCACATTTGGCCACCCGATGTGAGGCTGGGAATGGAACGCACGTGCGTTCCACCTGAGTGTGACCCGGAAGTGTAGAGAGACCTGTAAGTGAATTGCTGCTTGAAGTTGGAGCGCACGTGCGTTCCACTTGTGGTGTATTGCGGAGGTTGGCGCCGAGTTGGGGCGCGCGGGCGCTCCATCCGGAAGTTGGCGCTGAAGTTCTGGTATGCGCACGGAGTTGGGACGCACGTGCGTTCCACTTGCGGTGCGTACCGGAAGTTAGTGCCGTAGGTGGAACGCACGTTGCGTTCCACCAGACGGAATCAGGAAGTGCCATATAAAAGAAGATACAGCCGGCCGGCGGCATTTTCAAATAAAGAAAACTTTGGAAGAAATATTAGAGCCAACTGAGGAAGCCTGTTAATCAGGCGAAACGCGTTTTGGACACTCATTTTCAACTTTTATAGACTTTTTATTGGACTATATCTATACCCAATATTTATTGGTTTAGTATATTGCCATTTTGTTATTTTATTTACAAATAAACAAGAATTATTTTTCAAAGATCCCTGGTATACTGGGCATCTTTATTGAAGACCATCAGGAGAGATAACAAGCAATCAACAAAAGAAGGGTTTGGACAACCCCCTAATGGTCCAAGAGAACATACTTTTAGAGTCATATGACGGTATGACTCTATCCTTGTGAGTGCTTTTATTCTCATTTTTTATATGCTATATATTGTATAGATATACTACGCTATTTGCATATATTCTATTTTCCAGATTGTTCAAGACACTCCAGAGCTAATAGGCTGTTTTTAATAATAAGAAGGTAATTCTCTTTATTTAAAAAAAAAAAAAAAAAAGTCGCTGGCCCTTTGCTTTTAACTGACTAATGTATGCTATTCTCACAAGAGGTTTTTTCCCCCTCTCTGTTAAGTAATTTCAGTATTTTTATTTTTTTATTTTTGTAATTTATATATTGGAAGATCACTGGCTAAACTAAACGTATAACCATTTTCATAATTCGCAATGAAATGTATTCTATTACTTTTACAGAAATGCGTTTGAAAGGATTTGCAAAAAGGAGGTGTCTGCACCTGGACTAGTGATCATGAGAGATGTGGCTATTGCCAAATCTGAATATGTTCCAGATCAAAAAGCTATCACTAAAGTCCAGGACTTTCAAGAAGTTCCTGAACTTTTCAGATACTGTAGCTTACCCCAGGTAATATATGTGTCTCTGCTAAACCTAAAAAAAAAGTGAATTTTCTTTTTGTTCTCAGTGTTTAATTTGTATGGAGACTAACATATAAACATGAAGAATACAAGTGCAAGTATTGGCACCCCAGATTTTTTATGAGCAAGTTGATAGCACTTTTCATTGATAATGTCCCCAGATTCCATAACATGTGTGAAGTGTTTGTTTGTTTTTTTAGAACATTTTCTCCTTTTTAAATTGTCTTCTATTAACTTCAATGTGATAAATGTAAAGCCGTATTGGTTTTGGTTTTTCATTGTTAATGATTTTCAGAAATTGTCACAAGCACAAATAACATGGAACAAAGAGAAATCTCCTCAGCAGATGTGCAGAAAGGCTAAAAAGCATTGAAATAGAAATAAAATTACATCACCCAAGAAGTTTAATTATGCTGCCATGTAGTGTAGAACACCCAAAAGTACTGATTGTACTTCAAACCCTTTGTTTGGAACTTCTTAATGACGTTGTGAGGGTGCCAAGAGGTCCCTAGAGGCACTTTTACCTTAACGGGTTAAACCATTCTCTAATGTATCTTTTTCCAAGCCAGTTTTGTGAATGTGGAGTCACTGACTGGCTCAGAGCATCAGCTGGCTGCTCTTAGCGGCTCCCCTACCTGGCACCACTCAGCGCTTGCTGAAACATTCAGAAGCCAGATGCCACCTGGGGGGAGCGGACATTGCCATTGGGGTTTAACAGTTAGAGAATGGTTTAATCCCTTGAGGTAAGATGGGCTGTGGGGGCCTCCTGGCACCATAACAACTTAATTTAGATGAAGTTGTTTTGGTGCCTAGGTGTCCCTTTAAATAAGTAAGTTGTAATTAAAACAAACATGGACGTTTTTTCAAATCTGATATTTTTGCCTAAATTTCATAATTGGGTATTCCTTATTCTACAATTCTGTTAAGTGAATAAATTACTATAGCTTAGATAAAAACATTCAAAAGATATATTTGTGTGAAATCTGACATCTATAATATAGTAAATCATTATTATAATAGTTTTAGACTGTTTTTATTACCATTCAGTATAATTTTCCATTGTGTATCCTTATGCTATATTAAGGTGACATTTGTCTATTGAGATGTCTTTCTTTCACTATAACATTTGAGTTGTTTGTTCTTTAGGACCCACATAATTTCCAGAGGATATATCATGTGCCATCAGCTGCAGTTTAGATTTCCTTTTTATAAAAGTAAAAATAATAATTGTATATACAATCCTAGGAATGTGCAGAGAGTATTTCTATACATGTGTATTTCTATACATGAATAATCGGTATTCTCAACGTTTCAGTTTTCGCCAAAACTTTTATCAAGAAAGTCAGAAGTCTATGCAGGCTTGTAGTGTCACAGAGGTACTTAAGACCTGTTATTTAAAGACACTCTAAGTACCAAAGCCACTATATATTAATGTAGTTTTGGTGCATAGATTCTGTCCCTTTCTTACACAATAGCAATGTTTACATTTGTCCAAGAAGATGCCTCTATTGGCTGTCAGCCACTAGAGGCACTTCTATCTTAGGTTTTTGAAAGTCTTCATGTCCAGCGTCCTCACTCAATGTATGATGATGCCGAATGCCATTACCGGTTCTCATACAGAAGCATTGGAATAAACATTCCATGTGCAGTAGATCAGTGGGGGAGAGGGCTAGATCTAAACAAGTAAAAAGAACACTCTAAAGTTAAAAATACATTATTTCTAGGATTGGGGATAGGAATAGTAGGCAGGTAATTATTATTTGATGGTTTTAATATATATTCGATGTAAATTTGGTGGTTCAATATATAGACGTTTATATATAATTTTTTATTTTATATATTTTTTTAACTTAGATTATTAAGTATGTTGAGTGCTTCACGGGTCCCAACATCATGGCTATGCATACTATGCTTATCAACAAGCCCCCTGATGCAGGTATGTATATATTTGTATATATTGTGTCTTTTTTTTTTTTGTAGTAACCTACACTAGTCCTTGACAGCCCCAAATCTGTGTTGGAATCATTGTTCTTTGTGAACTCTTCTCGAACACATGATGATCGACTACTATTTTTAAGGGAAATAATGTAAAAATATTGCATCTGTAAGGTCTCTGACCTAGGTATATGAAATTAAAAGCATTATCATGCATAATATTGTTTTTCTTGACAAGGTAAAAAGACTTCTCGTCACCCAATGCATCAGGACCTCCACTACTTCCCATTCCGTCCAGCAGAACATGTGGTCTGTGCTTGGACAGCAATGGAAAGGATTGACCGAAGCAATGGATGTCTGGTGGTGCTTCCTGGGACACACAAGGGTACACTTAAACAACATGACTACCCAGAGTGGGAGGTAACATATATATTAGATAACTGTATGCAATGTCATTACAGATTGTGCAGCTGTAGTCCCATAAACAAAAAAGGCTTGATTTTAAAAAAAACACACATGTCAAAGGTAGATTACTCAAAATGACTAAGGAAGGTTCCTTTATAATGTATGCAATTATTCAAGCTGCTTTGAAAAACACATGGCAGGTGAATGTAGAACATTCAAAATGTGAAATATTTTCTATGACTTCCTGTTTGTAAAAGTAACAAACAATTTTGATATAAATATCATACTTTCCAAACATATTCCAGAATGATAAATAAAAACCTTCAATATTAAAATGACAAAAGTTATCTTCTAGAAAATGCAGATAGTTGATGATGAACAAATGAATGTTAAGTGTTTTTTGTGGATTTTTGTTTTACCTTCTTTGATTTCTGTTAAAAATTATGAAAAAAAAAAAAAAATATATATATATATATATATATATATATATGTGTCTGAAATCCGTTTGGGCCGAAACGTTGATTTATATTTTGCACAGCTATTAGTTGAAAATGCAATAAACACCATTATTGCACGGATTTCAGACCTAGAGTGGTCCCTATACTTTATTTTCTCTCTATATATACACGAAGGATTGTACCTAGGCACGGTAAATATATATTTTTGTATTTGGGAGGAGTGCAAGCATTTTGTAATTAGGTATGTATGTGTATATATACATACATACACACACACACATACATACATACCAATTACAAAATGCTTGGCACTCCTCCCAAATACAAAAATATATATTTACCGTGCCTAGGTACAATCCTATATATATATATATATATATATATATATATATATATATATATATATATATATATATAATATACACACACTTCTTTTTATGTATAACCATGAAGTGACTACTGCTAAAACAACAAAGTAAACTCCCAATGTCTAAAGAGCTTTCAGATAATGAGTCCCAAATGCTTTGATTGTTTATACACTGGAGGAAAAAACAGAAATACATATTATAATATCTAGAAGAACAGATATACTGCTCAATCAATTAGCCATTTGTTAGATTATACGTATAGAATAAACAAATCGCTACTGCCTGTTAAACTGAATTATCCCATTTCGGCTGACAATGGGGCAAATTTGCTGAAAATAGGGATGCACAATTCCTATCGCAAGACGCCCAGGACATGCAGTTCTGGGTGCCGGTCAGGTAGTTATTTTCTAGTTTCAGTCCTGCTGCGGGCTACTAGCACAGTGCCTTAGGGTGGAGTGGCTTGTCAGGTCCTCGGGCCATGACCAAGGACCCGACATTAGGAGGGGGCCGGCGGTTTGTCCCGTGTGCCGCTGGGTGCGAGGCCCCTCTCGTCTGCCCGGGGAGAGAACCAGCACAGTCTGCAGCTCCGCCGCATGTGAGCTACAGACTGTGCTGTATCTCGCGATCTTTGGCCAATCAGAGCGTTGACGCAGGTTACCACGGCAAGGCTCTGACTTCTGGAGCTCGCGAGATACAGCACAGTCTGCAGCTCACACCCGGCAGAGCTGCAGACTGGAGAGACAGCCCAACCGGACCACCAGGGAGCCAGGACACTGGAACACCAGGGAAACAAAAAAATAAGTATTTCTAACACCCCTCATTCTGTCACCAGTCACCACCTCCCTCAGTCACTCTGCCACCAGTCACCCCCTCCCTCAGTCACTGTCTCTAGTCACCCCCTCCTTCACTCAGCCACCAGTCACCCACTCATCTGTCACCCCCTCCCTCAGTCACTCTGTCACCAGTCACCCACTAGGCACCCCCTCCCTTACTATGTCATCCCCTCACTCTGCCACCTGTCACGCCCTCCCTCACTCTGCCACCTGTCACTCCCTCCTTCACTCTGCCACCTGTCACTCCCTCCCACTCTGTCACCCCCACCCTCCCACGCTCTACCTGTCACCCCCCTCACTCTGCCATCCCTATACCACCCCACACCAAGTGTCCTACCCATATTACATCCCTATCACCCCACACTATGTGCCCTACACACACTAAATCCCTAGCCCATCCCACACTATGTGCCTTACACACACTACATAACCTACACACTACATCTCTATACTGCATCACACCATGTTCCCTACACACACTATATAACCTACACACATATACACTATATCCCTTTCCCACACCTCACTATATTCCATACACACACACACTACTAAACCTACACAAATCATTTGGGAGGAAAAGTAATTTTCGGTTCCGGTTTCTGGCCAAGGACATCCTGAATTTTCGGTTTCGGCCCAGAATTTTCATTTCGGTGGATCCGTAATATATTTTTTTCCCCATGAGTGTTGTGTGAATAACAACCAGGGAAGAACCGGATATGGCTGTAATAACAGAAAATTACTGAGAATTGAGCATGTAGATTGCAGGGGCATGGTCTATACATGAAATATACTTATTAAGCAATAGTTTAGCTGCTTGGAGCGTCCCTTTATTCACCCAACATTATCCTTAATATCTAAATATTACCTTTCTTTGCATCGCTGAAGGGAGGTGTGAATAAGATGTACCACGGGATACGGGACTATGATCCGAACAACCCTAGAGTGCATCTCGTCATGGAGAAAGGGGACACAGTGTTCTTCCACCCTCTTCTCATCCACGGGTCTGGAATGAACAGAACTGCTGGCTTCAGGAAGGTAAAATGTAAAAAAGAATATAATTAGTAATAATAAAGTCCTTCTGTCATTCTGTGTTCGCCATAATGAAGATCTTACATCTTCTCCTCCCGCATGACCATCTGACCTTTCCCCATCATGTACATAGACATTACATTGCATTGTTCATTATAATAGTGTAACCATAACTAGTTAGAAATGACTGAGAAAACACTACAACTCTTCATCTCTGTGATGCTCTTACAGTTGGATACCAGTATTAGGCTTTAGCTTAGTTCTCACTTATATTCACTAATGGTGGCACTAGGTTTTTGAATCCACTTTATTATTTTATGTTTTGTTAGTACTTAATCTCGCATTATATATGGGGGGGTACCTTTAGCTATTTCTCGATCGGCTATCTGCTCTATTATCTAGGGACAGACTAGAACGCCCTCGAAGGCGTTTATATTTAGGAGTTTCAGGGACTCTATAGATATTTATCTTCTCTCTGCTCCTTTTGTTATTTATTTAATTTTATTTTATTTCTAGTTGTCTCATTTAGACCTTTTTTCAATACTAGATTTAACTTATATATAATAGCCTGTGTTATTTTTCATTCTTTCTGAGTGTCTGTCTACAAGGTGCAGTTTTGCCTCGGTATTAGGCAGTATTTTCTAGCCTTAACATTAGATTTTGATGACTTTTTTCTCTGCAGGGATTCTATAGAGTTCTATTAGGTCCTCTATCTACTTGCCAATACTAGTATTATATGTATTATATTTACTGACCTCTTCTCTCAAATACTCACCTGCAGTTCTTTTCATCTATATGGCTAGTATTTCCCCCTCCTAGCTTATTGCTAGATTTAATTAGTAAGATATCCGTGCCTGTATCTAGGAAGTCTGCTGCTTGGAATTCTTTGGTAATTTAATAAAGCACTTGCATTTTATTTCTTTGCAGCATCCATGACTATGATCAGAGCTAGAGACTTACGTATATGCATCGAGATTAAGTGTTAATTTGGGAACACATTTATTGTAGAATATCTCTCTATATACTGCTTTATTTAAAATCAGTTTGGAGTCTCTTATCCTTAGATACTCCGAGTATATTTTGATTTTTTTATTCTCTAATCTGGGTTAAGCCCTACTTAGGTGGACCTGTAACCACCCCTTCTGACCTTCATTTCCAAATTTTCTTACCATAAACCCATTTTAAAACATTGACTACTATACATAAATAAATGTAACATTTTTATTTAGGTAGTAACATAGATAGAAATTACATGTCTAATGTACATGGTGATAAACTTATACTCCTGTTTAACCCCTTAAGGACACATTCCAGAAGTTTGGTCCTTAAGGGGTTAAAGTCAATTTACATTTATATATATATATATATATATTATTTTTATATTTTTTTTACTTTTACTTTGCAGGCAATTTCATGCCACTATGCCAGTGCAGACTGCCATTATATAGATGTGAAGGGCACAACTCAGGAGATCATTGAAAAGGAAGTGGCAGAAATAGCATTCAAGCGTTATGGACTGGAGACTGCAATTGATTTAAAGGTAAGGTAGAACTTTGATCCCTACAGGAAATCAATCTGGTGCCAAAGAGATCATGTAAAAATTCCTATACTTCTGACTCAACTATTTTTCAAGGAACATTGGTATCATTTGATTGCATAGATTGTAACCCTGTATGCACCCGGGGAAAAAATAAGGAACTGTAGTGCTAGGAATACAATTTTGTATTCATAGTCTATAGTTTCCTTTTAAATAGGGCCCTGGAACGAGGGACCTGTGGCAGGGAGGGGAGCAAAGCCAAGGGAGTGGGCCTGGACTCCCAAATGTATTTGCATATGAAATCAAGAGTATGGCACGCACATATACACACATATATACATAAAAACACAATGTGCACTATATCAATAGCAGATCATGTCAAATCCCATATATATTAAAAACAATTCATAAAATATTAACTTCCATAATACACACCATTTTTGTGTACTTTTTTTATTTATTTATTTTAGATTTCATGATCTGCTTGCTGAAATAATGAGCGTGCGCGCACACACACACACACACACCCCCCTCACTCCAAGACACCTTTTTAAAAAAAGTCTTCAGGCATCTAATAAAGTATAGCAGCTCTGCATCAAGCTGGTTTATCATGTGCAGCTCAGTGTGTAGATTATATGTAATTTGGTCATGGTAGGAAACCAAGAGGGCTGCACTCACCTGAACATGCGTACATTATATTTTAGAAACCTTATCCTAGTCTCTCCCATCTTCGCCTCTCCTCACTGTCTGACTATATTGTATAAAATAATGATATCTCCTTCTGAAAGCAGCGTATTAGAATATGACATTAGAAAAGGCACAGTTCTCCACTTTCTCACAATCCATGTAAGGACAGAAGATATTTATCTCATTGACATCCACCGGCCCCTTCCTTACTACCAGAGAGATATAGTTACTGGTGGTATTTTATTGTTGCCCAGATTGTGGCGAGACCTGTTCTACAGTAGATGCTGGTGGCTGCTATTCAATGTAGTCTATACCCAAAGACACTAAAGATAAATACGTACGTGGAATGAGGCAGAACAAGAGAACATGTTCACTTTCATCTAGTCTGCTTACACTATTTATTAATAATCTTTTCTTTTTTTTTTTTTTCATAGGATGCCTGGATGGCCAGAGGACGTATTGTTAAAGGCGTTCGAACAAGCCTTTAAATGATAATCTTGTAAAAGAGAGAAAGCATCCTCTATAAGGATTCAAACTGTGTAATGACATATACTTAATTTGCTAATAACAAAATGGCAACCTGAAATTCACATTTAATTGGATCTTAAACTGTGGCAATAGTTAACTATAAATTATCTTTACCGTTTGTCAGCATTACTATCTGCTGTGACATACACAATGTGTACACATCGGTATCAGGTTTTATTGTCCCATTTAATCCCTTTAGCTCGGCTAAAGATAGATGAACTTGTAAATGCTCCCACAATATTTTAGACCTTCTAAAGTTTTCAAACTATGTACTTTAGCCACTACTATACATTTGTTTAATTTTACATATTTTAATACAGATTTGAAAACAATGGTGTTCCTTTTGAAAGCAGTCCTAGGTTAAAACCCCTTCAGTTACTCACCTTCTTCCACCGCCGGGCTCCCTTACCTGTCCTCCCCCACCGACGTCAGCTCCCCCGTCTGACGTCAGCGGAGCGGACTGCGCATGCGCAGCAGTGCCGCACGTGCATTCAAAGTGTCCATAGGAAAGCATTTTTCAATGCTTTCCTATGGACAGGCTGCGTGATGGAGGCATAATATGCCTCCAGCGTCGCAGATGCGCCTCTAGTGGCTGTCTGGAAGACAGCCACTAGAGCCTGGCTTAACCCCAAAATGTAAACATATGTTTATAGCAGGCAGGGTTAGCCCTAGAGGGACCTGGCATCCAGACCACTTCATTGAGCTGAAGTGGTCTGGGTGACTATAGTGTCCCTTTAACTCCATACTGAAGTGTAGTCTATATCCATCCTTAAAAATTTCCTCTCTCCTAGGAATTCACTATAAGGTCTGCCATTCTAATTAATAGTTGATCAAGAAGATTTCCATAGTGAATTAGTTCATCTGATTTGACTTTGACAGGTGTTGCTACTGTTATTTTAGCAAGGCACTTAACATGTTTGTTTACTCACTGACCTTTGAAAGGCCAGAAAATGATTTGAACCAAAACATTATAGTCTGCAGCTTTACACTTCAAATAAAATACTCTATAACTTTCTACCATTTAAACCTGTAACAAAAAAAAAAATCTGTTATGAGGTTACCTTCAAATTACTAAAAAACGAAGTGTACTAAACAGAATATCTAAACATGTAAAAATGTAAATTAACTTAAAATAAAAACTGAACATGCATTCTAGGTTATCTGTTTCATAAATTATGTATCTCTCTTCTATTGTTTTCGTTGGTTTCAAATTTCCAAAATGGTTTAGCACAATAAAACATGTTGCTCGGCTGTTCTCAAGTCTGGAATTGGCCAAACCATGTTGTCAAATAAATATTTTTCTAATTACATAGTTTATTTTTTTTTCTCTTTCACATTATAAATTAAGTAAAATGTTTTTGGTATTCATGAATCCAATGATTTTGAAAAATTGAGAAAGAAATTGCAAAGTAGATATTTTTCCAGCTTGACTAGTCTTGGCCTACAAGTTGCAGTTTTGTTCTCCGTTCTCCACAATATTATAAGTTAAGTGGACACATATTCCGGGCACAAACACAACAATACATTTAGTTTTGATCTTTTTTTAAAGGCTCTAAATAAAAAATGGGGGGACCTATTGTCCTCCCGGCCTGCACCCATAAGCGGCGGGTGGGGGCCTTAATGAAAATGTTAACTCCCACCAGGTGACTAGGGTTCCCCGGGCCCCTAGTCACCCCCCCACCCAAACAAAAAAAATAAACCCCTACCTACCCCCCTCACCCTAATTACCCGGACATAAATTGGGATACAGTGACTAGTACTTCAGCAAGGGGAATCAGGTTTTTGAGTGTGTTAAATGACACCTTTATGTCACAACTGGTACAAGCACCAACTAGAAAGGATGCTTGTCTGGATCTCGTTATAACAAACAATGTTGATGTTTTGACCAACATTCAAGTAGGGGAGCATTTGTGAAATAGTGATCAAAATATGGTAATTTTTTAAATAAACTTAAAAAAGCAAAAGCACGTGGGGTATACTAAAACGTATAATTTTTAAAAAGACAATTTCGGTAAGATTAGGGCAACTCTACAACATATCGACTGGCATAAACTCCTTAGTGATAAAAACACTGAGGATAAATGGAAACTATTCAAACAAATATTAGAAAGGTACATTTCTCAGTATGTACCATTGGGTAATAAATATAAAAGAAACAAATTTAAAACCAATGTGGCTTAGTAGATAAGTAAAACAAGAGATTAAAAATAAGAAAAGGGCATTTAGAGCATTTACATCAGAAAAATCAGAGGCATCCTATATGAGATATAACGAAGCCAATAATGTTTGCAAACAGGCAATTAAAGTGGCTAAACTAGAAAATGAGAAATTGATAGCCAAAGAATGCAAAACCAACCCCCAATATTTTTTTTTCAAGTACATCAATTCTAAAAAAAAATAAAAAATGAAAGTGTAGGTACACTGGAAACAGAGATGGGTCTGTTAGTTAATGAAGACGAGGAAAAGGTAGAAATTTTAAAGAACTATTTTTCTTCAGTATATATTAATGAGTTAATCATCCTCCTGTACTGCAGGGATTCAGAAGCCTTAGAACATGCACTGCATGCAAAAGATTGTGTACTACAAAGTAATGTCATGTAATGTCAGCCCTTATATAGGGTTTTTAAGCGGATCTTTCTGCAAAGAGTATTGAGTATGTTTCCAGACTGCCTCTAGCTGGCAGACATAACAAGTGGTATACGTTTTAAGCATGTTTATACTTGTACCGTGTTTTCCCGAAAATACACCCTACCCGGAAAATAAGCCCTAGCTGGATTATCGGGGTGGGCTGCAATATAAGCCCTACCCCGAAAATAAGACCTAGGCAGGGCCGGCGGCTGCCGGCCCTTTAAATGCCACAGCCGACTGAGCGCTCTATAGAGAGCGCTCAGACGGCTGCCGCACTGCCTCACCTCCCCTTCCCTGTAGCGTGGCCGAGCTCCTCTCTGGTCTGCGACCCGGCCGGACTGACAGGAAGTGCACACTGGGTGTGCACTTCCTGTCAGTCCAGCCGGGTCGCAGACCGGAGAGGAGCTCGGCCACGCTACAGGGAAGAGCAGGTGAGGAGAAGATTGGAGGGGGAGTATTACAGGGAGGCAGGGAGGGGGGAGAGTATTACAGGGAGGGAGGGGGAGATAATATTACGGGGAGAGTATTAGAGGGAGGGAGAGGGGAGAATATTACAGGGAGGGAGAGGAGAGTATTACAGGGAGGAGGGAGGAGGAGAGTATTACAGGGAGGAGGGAGATATGGTGGGAGGGGAGATAGTATTACAGAGGAGGGAGGGGAGAGTATTACAGAGAGGGAGGGAGGGAGGAGTATTACAGGGAGGGGAGGAGGAGAGTATTACAGGAGGGAGGGGGGTTACAGGAGGAGGGAGTGGGGGGAGTAATACAGGAGGGAGGAGAGAGGAGGGAGATATTACAGGAGGGAGGAGAGTATTACAGGGAGGGAGGAGAGTATTACAGGAGGGGAGAGACAGGAGAGGAGGAGTATTGAGGGAGGAGAGAGTATTACAGGGAGGGAGGAAGTACAGGAGAGTATTAGGGAGGGAGGGGGAGAGTATTACAGGGAGGAGGAGAGTATTACAGGGAGGGGGGATACTATTACAGGGAGGGAGGGGGGATACTATTACAGGGAGGGAGGGAGGAGAGTATTACAGGGAGGGAGGGAGGGGGGGAGTATTACAGGGAGGGAGGGAGGGAGGGGAGAATATTACAGGGAGGGGGAGGTGAGGGTCTCTGGGGGGTTACACAGCGCGGACACCGGCTGACAGACTGGCTCTAAGCCCTACCCTGAAAATAAGTAGTGTGTTTTTTGTGACTAAAATTAATATAAGACCCGGTCTTATTTTCGGAGAAACACGGTATTTAGAGAGAACATACCTGTATACTCTATTTGTAACTTTGCGATTAGTTAGTTTGAAGTAGCAACTGCATAACTTTAAAGTGTAACTGAATACAAGAACAGACTCTCTCTGTTTGATACAATTATTGATTTCAAAGGCAGTGCTATATAAATCGTGCTATATTACAGGGACACTATAGTCACCAGAACAACTACAGCGTAATGTAGTTGTTCTGGTGAGTATAATAGCTCCCTTTATTTGTTTGTTTTTCTAGTGGCTTTAAGATTTTGGGATTTCTGCTCTTGGAATAATGCACGTTCATTGTTCCTCCAAATTCCCTCACCCCTTTAAGTTTTTTACTGTGTGCTGGTGTTTTTTTTTTAGACAAGGCTATAGGTTTTCCAAATTATTCAATCCTGTTACAAAAGTTCCCCAGTGATTTATCTACAAAAGTTACTATTAAAGGCCGTGACCATTTTGGTAGATAAATTATTTAGCAGTTTTTTGGACAGCTTATTAAATCAAGGCCTAACTGTTTACTAAAGTTTCCTATTTTATATCACTTAATAGGCAATTCCTTAGTGTTTCCCATGTATGGGATCACTATTCCTTAAAATATTGCAGTGATGGGAGGACACAGTGTTTGTAGCATCAGAGTTGGAGAACTTCTTAAGGGATCACTAAAGGCACCCACGAACTGGCATCCAGCACCTCACACTCTGCACCCTGAAGGTTCCTCATAGAGATGCACTGTTTCAATCTGTACTTGGAATAACCCTTTAACAGTTTGCCCTAATTCAGAGCTGCAACCAAATCCTCTAAGGCAGCATTGCCAAAAACACAAATGTTGAACTGTGAGGTCATTCATTTTGCCAATTTTAAAATCAAGACAAATGTTATGGGGTGGTGTCCACAGGGACCTTGGTAGTCAGACAATGCAATGCTTACAAATTGTCTCATCTTTTATTTAAAATTAAAAAAAAAAAAAAATCCTCCATTAGACACAAACTAACTGCTCATTGTAAATCACCTGTGTTGTGTTTACTGGTTAATTCATTATATCTAAATATAAATATAATTTTTTTTTAGTGAGGGATTATCAAAAAAGAATCTTATTTAGAAAGAAAATGTGTAAGCTTTATAAATTAGGTATAATATTAAAGTATTTCACAAGGAATGACATATAGGTCCTTGGGTCTACAAGTTATGTGATGACGTCCTGTTAAAACTTTAAATCAGACAATGAATTTTACTGCTGTATGAAGACGATGTTTGCAGAAATCCATTGGTAATGGGGAGGTTGACAAGTGAAGAGAGCAATGGGAAGAAGGGATCACTGTGTTACTTTGTCTGCCTGCAGTATATCGGATGTTTGACTTTCTGTAATGCTAGGAATTGTGGAACTGTTCCAGACCACAAGGACATCATGGCTTTTGGAACAAAGTCAAGTTACTCTGAAAGCAACTACAGTAAAACTTACAGTTTCCAGAGCAAACTTAAAGGGACACTATAGTCACCAGAAAAACTACAGCTTAATGTAGTTGTTCTGGTGTGTATAATAGCTCCCTTCAGGCATTTTCATGCAAACACTGCCTTTTCAGAGAAAAGGCAGTGTTTACATTGCCCCCTAATGACACCTCAAGTAGCCACTCCTCAGATGAAAACCGGAGGTGCTTCCTGGGGCAGTGATGGACAGTAGGCAGCATTGCTGGGCAGCGCCTCAATGCGCTACATGGAGACGCAGAATTTTATAACATGACAGGAGGCTTCATATTTTGCTTAAGTCTCTCCTTACTTAAACTCCACAGCAGCATATTTTAACATAGTAACAGGATAAACCAATCAGAAAAAAGTAACAGGCTACAAAACTCCCTCCCACTGATGTCACTTCCTCTTTCTTTGCTGCTCCACACTAGCACAGGTCGGAGTGCCACGGTCTCCTACTCTGGGTTTCTGTGGTATTAAATTTATCGATTATTGTTTATTATATTTCAGTTATTACTGCCTATTGTTACTTGTTTGATAGTACTTTCTCCTAGGGTTTCCCAGTTTCTTTCATGCTCTATTGGGATTTTTGTCACTACTAGACTCTTTAACTTTCATTTTTCCATCTTTTATCTTACTCTGGTATTTCCTTCTGTCAGTTTCTAACTGCATTACTGTTTGTCCCTCGGGTTTTCTGTTTCTTTCTTTATCCTGTCACCTGGGGTCGCAGCAGGCATCTTGCCTCCCCGACTTTTCCCGGGCATTTTAGGGGACGTGGAGAATGCCTCCGCATGCAACAAAGCTTCTCTTTGTTGAACAAAACACACCAGCACATGGATGGAATTGTTGCATATGAATGATCAAACTTTTTTCAATAGACATTTAAAAGTTTGATCATTCATATGCAACAATTCCATCCATGTGCTGGTGTCTTTTGTTCAACAAAGAGAAGCTTTGTTGCATGCGAGAGGAGTTTTGGATTGGACAATTGACAGAGAAGCACCGAGAAGTACTGGTGTTGGAAAAAGTTGCTTCTCTGTTTTCTCTCTCATTGTATACTCCTGGAGTGATACTGCCTGGGACAAAGGGGTGTTTGCTGCCCAAAGAGCACAAAGAACCTTTTTTACGGAGCCAATACTATATAGGCTCCTGTCCATGTGAGTGGTTTAAGTCATTTATTACCATCAACTGTCTATTTGGATAAACCGTCTGCACTATATTTTTTTGTTATTCTTGTTCCCCCTTTTATGTCTATGTAAGTTTCTCAAGATTGTCTCTGCACTAAAAGGGGGTGAGTAAACCCTTTCATTGTTTAGAGCGCTCCACTTGTCTGGTATAATCATTTATACCTTATTTTTGTATTTGTTTTTTATTGTAGGTAAGGGGTATTCCACTTTTAGTGTTGAGCAGCTTTTATCTTTTAGGCACTGTTAAGTAACACTTTCTATCTCTTGAAGATAGCTCGTTTGTTTTACATTAATTAAAATGTGTTATTACACAGCTACGCTCTTTAGAGAGCTTGTGACGGGGGAGGAGGGGGGCCCTATGTATCATATCAGACCAACCCACATGGGTTTTCTATATTGGTTTTTATGATTGCTGTCACTGGTACAGCCCTGACTGGCCCGCTTTGTCTGTGTCCTCATACCTCCCTACAGGGTATATACACCCGGAGAAATTTTTGCTGGGTGAGCCCCAGTTATAGACGTGCATGAATAATATGTTATGATTGATACCGAAGTGTCCTTATCACACCTGTCTCTGTTACTGGCCTATTCTTCCCCTTAGGTTACGCTTGCTATAGCTATGGATACAACAAACCAGGAACAAAACCTGCAAGCTCTCAGTCAAGAAAGCCCTGGCTCGGGTACTGCCCTCAGAGCGCAAAGAGAGACTCCAACCCGAACCTCTTCACCCAGCAGAGGATTCAGACTCCTCTAGGGATGAGCAAGCCAGACCTCACAAATGGTACTGGAAAGGAGACGGCCCTGAACTCCTCAACCGTAAAGGGAAAGCACCCCAGATGTACGGACGCAAAGGAGAAACTGTCCATCATACCTTATAAGAAGAAGACTCCTTTCCTCTTCCTCCTTTATCGGTCGTGGACGAATGGCAAGCAGACCATTCAGCCTCTGATGACAAGCCCGACTGGCCAGATGCTGCCTTAGGAGAGGGGAGGCAGAAGTCTTCACGGACGCGTTAGGACAACCGCTGTTTTACCCACGCCAAATTTGCCATCCTCGGTCCTCGGAATGGTCCCTTCCGGACTACCTTACCCAGTACATCCACTTCTGGATCAGAAGGCCCCTGGATCGTGAGGTCTGCAAACGCTTGAAGGCAGAATGCCCCAGACCTGCCCTGCCAGACAAGGTCGCGATGACCCCAGAGTTCGATGCAATGCTTTATACATACCTGGCCAGGACTGGCCGTGACCCCCGTAAGGGCATCGAATGCAGCTTACGGCTAACCCAAGACAGGCTGCTGGACGTGCTAGGACCCCTCGCAAAAATCCTCTTATTGGCTGATGAGGCCCTCTCTCAGGAGGGACCTTTAGACCCATCCGTGATCAGGGAATAGGCGTTGCATTCCATATGCCTGCTGGACAATGCAAATGTATCCCTATGTACGGAACGAAGGAAAGCAATGCTGCTGCACGTGGATGCAAAACTCTCCGACCTGGTCCAAGGAATTAGGCCCACGTGCAAAGGGTCTTTTGTTTGGAGAACTCTATATAAAGGAACTCCACAAGCACGTCAACTTATACACCACTTTGAATAAGGTGCAATCATCTATAAGGAGCGTTTTCCACCAACACCCCATGCGGGTTTTTGGCAAGGCTGGTCATACAAAGGGTCGTACAGCCATCCCCTTCTGATTCCCCTCCGCGGGTTGGCCCGGATTGTAGGCCTCCTTGCAGATTCCATTCAGGCGATCTATCCAGGACCACTTCATTATCGGGCCATGCAATGCCTGAAGGAACGATTCCTCCGGATTCACCCATCCTACAGCCAGAGGGTCCCTCTAACCTCAGAAGTCAAGGAGGAACTACGATGGTGGCTCCTCCACATGTCTGCATGGAACGGCAAGACAATTTTCGGTCCCACTCCAGACTTCATTGTAGAATCGGACGTAAGCCTTCGGGAATGTGGTGCAACATGCCCGACGGCATCCACAGGTGGTCCTTGGACATTGACAGAAAATTAGTTTCACATCAATTGTCTAGAATTGATCGCAGGTTCCTTCATGAACCACAGCCTGGCCAACCATCTCTCAGACTGTTGCATCCTCTTATGGATGGACAACATATCGGCTGTCCAGTACATCAACCTGGGTGGAGTCATATCACGAACCCTTTCGGAGATGACAAAAGACATCTACAGTTTCCGTTTTCAGCACAACATTACACTATGGGCGGAATACCTTCCCGAAGAGACGAATGTTAAAGCGGATTGGTTCTCCAGACATTGGAAGGACATCAGCGACTGGCGATTTCACAAATAGATTTTCCTTCACATCTCTAGACTGAGGGGCCTGTTCGATTTTTCAGCTGGCTCCCAGAGTACTCTACAGTAGATGCCTTCCTAGAGAACTGGCTGAGGCGGGGAGCCTACGCCTTCCCTCCATTTGCGATGATTCCCAGAATCCTCCTGCATATTCGCAGACAACGGGTTACACTGGTGCTCCTGACACCACTCTGGCAAGAACAGGCATGGTTCCCAGATCTCTGGGACCTCTCTTGCCAAGATCCGCTCCTCCTACCGCCCTTACCGGACCTCCTTTCAGACCATCAGGGTTGACCTCACCCAATGATCGAAGGCCATCTCCACTTAGTGACTTGGACTCTTTCCGGGGAACCTGGAACTTCAAAGACCTATTGCAGAGGTCTAGGGAACTTCTCTAGGATTCCTGGGCCCCTGGAACTATAAGATGCCAACTCTCAGCCTGGAACATTTGGTGCAGTTAGTGTCTGGAACGGGATCCCCATACAGGCCCTAGACAATTCATCTGGAACTTTCTCTCACTCTGTTTTTTCGTTTCAGTTTAAACCTCCCTCAAGATGTCAAGCCTAGTTCCTGTTCTTCTCAGATTTGAACACATCTCGCCTTCTCTGGTGAAATCTTCTTCCAGTTATACTCTGTTTCCTGTTATTGGTTTGTTTCTCAGCCAGAAAGAGGAAGTGACATCAGTGGGAGGAAGTTTTGTAGCCTGTTACTTCTGATTGGTTTATCCAGTTACTATGTTAAAATATGCTGCTGTGGAGCTTAAGTAAAGAGAGATTTAAGCAAAAATATTTGCCTCCTGTCACTAATAAAATTAAGATTATAGGTACACTAAAGCTAGCATAATCTCCAATTTTCCTCATAGAGATTCATTCAATCAATGCATCTCTATGAGGAAAATTGGAGATTATGCTAGCTTTAGTGAACCTATAATCTTAATTTTATTAGTGACACGTTTGGCACCGATCCCATCCTGCCTCCTTGCCGATTTCAGACAATCCAATGCTTTCCCTATAAAAATCATACATTCTGATAATGTCACAAAGGAGGCAGATTTTGAGCTGGACCAGCGTGGCGCTTGAAATAAGGTGACTTTTAACCTCTTCTAATGGGGTTAAGATGTTTAAACAGATCATTTAGTGAGCATTTTTACTAGCATTAGCATTTATACAGTGGTAACATAATCTGTAATGCTGTACTTCCACAGAGGTCCTGTCTCTTACTCAAAATTGCTTAATATTTGATTTTTTTGACCCTTCTAAATGTAAAGTCAACATAACTCAGTAATCCACACACCTCTCCCATCTAAACACAGGCACTCCTAGAAGCACACTGCACTTTAATTAAAACAGCACCAGCTACTCTAGGAAATCGTATATAATGCAAACAAATGCTCCCCCTCCCCCCCCCAAAAAAAAGTAAATATACTTAAAAATCAGCACCATGATATATGCATAAAATTCTCCTTCGCCCATGTCATATCATGCCACAGAATGGCCTTTGAGTTCCCTGGTGGTGTACTATCACAACTTCTCTTTGCATGGTCAGGGCCAGGTTTCCTATTAGACAGAGTAGGCACCTGCCTACAGACGCCTGCCCTGTAGGGGGAACCTGTTTTCAGCACTAATAAGGTGCCTTTTTATTGGAGCTCAAGTGGGCTGATGGGGAGAGATAACTATCTGGAGCCTTGACCAGTGTACTCGGAAGTACAGTTAGCCTCCCATGCTGCACTAACAGTTTTAGAGGGTTTAAAACTCAGTGCTGCCCCAGCTCCTCCAGTGTCTGTGTGTGGGGCTGGACAGGAAGAGGAAGGTGTTACCATCTGCCCACTAGTAATCTCTCAGACAGGAAATGCTTTGCAGGAGGAGTGGGGACAGCATTGAAAGAGGCACACTGGGGGCGGGGACTGACCTGCAAGTTTGCCAGAAATGTTTACAGAGAGCTCCTGCCAGCACAAACTTTAAATCGACTAAACCTACACAAAGAACTGGCAGAAGGATCAGAATTTTGCTTGACAAGCACCTTAAACGACAAGCATATTGTGGATCCCAAATTACCAGCTCCTGAAAACGTACTTTACCTTCTGGCCTTGCGTCCTACCAGGACTGTGGGCCCGACGGCTGGGAGAGGCGGCTGATCTCCCGCTGGGGACTACGCATCCTGAAGTACAACCACAGACACCCCATTGCCCTCCCCTCTGAACCAATGGGAAGTTCATATAAAAGCAAGAAAGAATGCTAGAGGACCTGTCTTTCTTGCTTTTATATGTTGACTATAGTGATCCATTAATCCTAGGTTTAACCACTCTTAAAAACTAAACACTCTATGTAGCCAATACTAAATTCAACCAAACTCTAACCTTAAACTCAATAATCCTAAACACCCCCTGTAACCAAGTACTACATTTAACTCCACTCTAACCATGAACTCAATAATTTGAAACATCTCTCATACCACAACTAACCACTCTCAAGCTTTTTATCCTCTTAAAGCGGCACTGTCACCTTCTTGGATCCTTATATATTTTGCAAGGACCCTGATGGTCACATCGCTGCTTACTGTGTGGTGGCCCAGTGATGCAGGGGAAGGTAGGTTTTACTTACCTGAAGCTGTCCCTGGGAGCGGCCACAATGTCCATCTGTGGGATCCTCTTTAGCTCCTGGCGCTTCATCTGCCTACGTCAGTGCTGTACTCTAGCGCATGTGCAAGATTACTACACTGATGTCTGTGGAGTATCCACCATAGGAAATGGGGAAATTGACAAAACTTGATAGCATTACCAGCACTTGGCTTTGTCTTATGAAATCTTTTGACTGTGTTAGAATTTGAGTGAAATGCCAGCAAAGTCAATGTAATCTTCATAAGATTTTATCTTAATGAAATACTATTTTTTTTGTGGTGGTGGGGTTGCTGGGTGACAAAGCCACTTTAACACGAAACACCTTATATGAACTAGCTCTAACATTAGATCATCTTAAACCCCTATTAACTCTACAAACATCAAACATTACTTTAACCCTACATGCATTTACACAGATGCATACACTCACTAAACTCACAGTTTCAGACATAGTATATTACTAGCGGGAATTACTACATGTTACTACACTGACTACATACATTGGGGATGTCAGGCACTCCTGGCACCATAACCACTACTGTACACTGTGGTGCTTTGAGTGCTCCTTTAAGAGATCTTCTGTGATGTATGTGGCACCTAGAACATTAACAGTTAAGAAGTGGGCAGGTAAATCAATGGAGATATACTAACACAGATGGTGTTCTCTCATCCATTAAAACATGGAAGGTCTTGACACAGTGATATCTAATTCTTGGAAAAAGTTAGTCAGATCACTGGTTCCACACTCTCTGTTCTATGAAGAAAGACTCTGCCAACATTCCAAGTACAAACCATACTTTCAGGCCAGTAACCTGAACTGGGAGCTCCGTCAGTCACACAGATGAGGCATTAACACTTTGTTTAAATGGCCTCATTGATATTTTGTTGCTCCAGTTTCTCTAAAACAGTGCAACCTTGTAAAATTATATTTTTTAATCATTTTAACATATCGTTAAAAAAGAAGCACAGTCATTTTTTGAATACTTTTAAAAAGAAAATAATAAAAAAAAATGCAAACTAGATGATAGACTGGAATTCCCTGCAAAAT